CTATTACAAATATGGCTAATGAAATAAAAACTTTATTATTTTTATTTTTTTAAGAATAAATCTTTAAAAATTAATATTGTTGATTTTTACTTAATATTATTACTTTGAATTAATAATAAATAAATATTTTAATTAATTTTGTTTTTTTTAAATATACTTAAAATATAAAAAAAATATTATTTTTAAAATTAAAAGAATATTTATATGGTGTATAAAAAATAATATTTAACAAATAATATATAAAAATTATTAAATATAATTATAGCAAAGAATATTTCAAATTTAATTTTTATTTTATGTAAACACATAATATTATAAAAGTAACTTTAAAATTTTCAGTTTGTGATAGGTTTGTTTATTTAAGAAACCAGATTATTTGATTAATTTAACAAATTTTTATTAATCAACAATTATAATAGAGGATTATTAAGTATTATATTTTATTATTAAACAAAATAATTTAATAATTAGTTAATATAAGATATTTCTTATTATTATTATTAGACATTAATCTAAGAACTATCAATTTAGTTTTCTTTTTGTTTAAAAATTTTTAAGTTTGAATGATGTGAATTATTATTGCAACCATCACATTTGCATAATTCAGAGCATCCGTTACCATTTAAATAACATAAACAATATTTTTTCAAACAACCAGTTTTTTTACAATTACATCCTTCCATTTTTACCTTCTTTTAAAGCTTTTCAATACTTCCAGAATTATATTCTTCTTAATTAATTTAATTTTAACTGATTTTTTTTTTATAGTTTTCACAATTCAAGCAAGAGCAATCAGGGCCACAGCCTTCTCCGTAGGCATAGCATTCGCAATAAAGTTTTATACATTTAGTTTTTTTACAATTACATATTTTTCTTTTTTAGGCCTAAGGTAAAGCATTTAAATGGTTTTCATTTATATTTATTTCTTAGTTTTATTGTTATGATAGAGTTGTATCATCAGAAAATTAATTTGAGTATTTTCTTTTATCTAGAATTTTCATAAGTTAATTGTTTTTATTTTATGAATATACTTGTCCTGAGGAAATAGGAGTAATTAATATTACAGCTCTTTTTTTGAATAAAGACATTTTTTATTGATTTTTTTTTTTAAATAGAAACACTCTTAATGTTTAAATATTTTATTTTAAAAATAAAGTAATTGTTTTTTTAAATATTTTAATAATATTTATGTATTATTTTTTCAAAAATACATGCTTTTTAAAATTTAGCATTTTTTTAAATGTAATATAATTAAAAATCAAATGCTTAAAAAATATTTAATGTAATTTTTTAATTAAATAAAAAGTATATATTAAATTAAATTTTTATAATATTTATATAATTAGTTTTATTGTTTTAATTTTTTTTTTATGTTATTTTATAAATAAATATATAAAGCTATTTAATTTATATTAAAAATAATTATAATCTATTCAGATGCCATTTATAATATAATATATTTATTTTTTTGAAATTAAAAAAAAGATTATATTTTAATAAAATTTAAATTAAGAAATATTTAATTTATTTTTTTCTTAAATTAATAGAAAAAGTACACATAATAACAATATATAATTTAAACAATAATTTATAATTTTTTCATAATAGAATTAGAGAATTTTCATAAGTCTATTTATCTTATAATATAATTTATACTTTCTGGACTTTTGCTCCGCTCACTACTAATATTAATATCAGTCTACACTTGTAAATTATCGTTTTATAGTCTTTTATTTATTACTTTTTTTTCGTATTTTTATTCTTTTAATTATTTGTAACTAATAATATAATAAATTAATTGATATTTCTTATACATAAAATAATAATATTTTAAATATTTACTTTGATTAGTTTATTTATTTATTTATATTTATTTAGTTTCTCTCATATTTACAATGTATTTTGGTTATGTTTTTACTACATCTTTTTTTTATTATTATATTTGCTTTTTATTTTTTCAAACAATTTATTGGTTTATCGTAATTTTTTTTTTTATAAAACTAATGTTTCCTTTCTTTCAATATTACAAGATAACTTATTAAAAGTTAAGCAATCATTTAAATTTCTTTATTTAATTTATAAATACAATTTTATATATTTACTTTTTTATTAACTTTAAAAAATAAGCTTATCAATTTATAAAATATTTTCATTTTCTAATTAATTTCTGACTTTATAAATATAAATAAAAAAAAATATATATATTTTTAAATATACTAAAATATATTAATCAAAAAAAATATACCAAATGAATTCTTAATAAATACAGGTCTTAAATATTATTATTTTTTTTTATAAGAAATAAGCATTCAAAAAAATTTTTTATAAAAAATTATAAAATAATATATATATATATATATATATATATTTATATAAATATATATATACATATATATATATATAAATTAAAATGAATAAAAAATCTTTATATTTTTCTTATTATAAGCTATTGTCTTTAAAATAAATAAAAAAATTTTATTTATTTAATTAAGAAAAATTTATTTATTTTTAAATCAATTAAATATTTTAATATTTAAACATATAAAATTAAGATTTAAAATAATATTAAAAATTTGATAATTTTTTTAAAGTTAAATTAATTTATTTTTTAGATATTATTTTTAATTTTAAAATAATTTCTAATTTTTATAAAATTATTATTTATCTATATTAAACAATAACTCATAACATGTTTTGATTCATATATTTTATTTAGTTTAATTTTTTTTCTGGTGATTTTAAATTATAATATTATTTAATTAATTAAGTAAATTAGAAATTAGGAAGTAGTTTAAATTAATATTTATCAAGAAAACTATTTTATTAAAAAATAAAAGTTAAAATATGGTTGAGAAATTAGAAACTATTATAAATATTCATCTTATAATTAATTTTTAAATCATAGTAGCATATTTAATACTTTTACTTTAAGCTTTCTTAGTATTTTACACATTCGTCCATTAAATTTATATGTATCGCTATATTTAAAACTATTTTAATAAAATTAAAAATACTTTTTTAAACAAAATGACTTTTGATATTAATTGGTATATTAGATATTGTATATTTTCATTTAAAATAATATTTTTTTTTATGATTATTTTATTAATTTAATTTAAATTATATTATTACATTATTTTCCAAAATATTCAACAAAAGAAAAACATTCACAATATAATTTTTTTACAATTTCAAAATTCATTTTTATTGCTTATTATATTTTTATTTTTAATTAATAAAAGATTTTTAAAATGTGTTGATATTTTTGTAAGTTATTAATTTCTAGATATTCTTTAATTTAGAAAGAAGAAGTTTAATACTCTTTATTAAAGTTATAAAGTTAATTATAATTTTAATTTCTTTTTAATTTATTTAGAATAATCTATTTATTTGCAATTAATTTTCATTGAATTTTTTAATTTTTTTTTTAAAAAAAAAGAAATTAAAGATGATTGATTTCTATTCAAAACAAATAATATTTAATTTTTGAAATTTAAAAATTAAAATATTATTCAAGTATCTATAAAAATAATTATTGATTAATAATTAAAATATTAATTTTGAATTTAATTAGTTTAAAAATAGTTTCTATCTTCTAATAACAACTATTTTAAGGATTATAATTATTTTCTAAAATTTTTTATTTTTTATATTTTTAGGGAAAAACAAATATTTATTTTTAAATTTTAAATAAAATTATTAAATTAAACTCTATTTTATTTTTAATATACATATTTAATAATTAAAATATCTTTTATATATATTTTTTTTTTTAATTTATTGAATTAATTTAATTTTTAACTTATGAAATAAATTAAATTGCATTTCCAAAATTAATAAAAATAATTATAAATGTAACATAAAATCAACACAATATAAAAAATTGAAATTTACTTTATAATTATTAAAAAAAAAATTAGATTAGTATTAAATGTAATACTAAAATATTATATTATAAATTATTTAATTACATAAAAATATAAAAATTTAAATATTAAATTAAAAATTATTAAAATTCTAAATGATTAGCAAGTTTACTTTATTATTTATATATTTTTATATGAAGCATTATAGATTATTTTCACTTTCAAAATTCGAATAATTAAATTTTATATATTTTATTTTAAGTTTATAAATAAACATTATTAAAAAAAAAATAACTATTATTATTATTTAAAAGATTTCATATATATATTAAAAATGTTGATATATTTTTCTAAGTATAAATATTTTATGAAAATAAATTTATAAAAAATTATTTTAATATCATTTTTAATTATAAATTAAAAATTATAATAATATTTTTGTGTAATTAGTATTTTTTAAAATAAAATGAGTCAAAATAGTCAAAATTTATTCGGGTAAAAAGAGTAATCTATTTAAAATATTGAAATGTAGCCATAAGATAATGAAGATGAAATTTTTAAAAAATAAAGAGAATTAAATGAAAAAGAGGAAAAACAACAAAAGTTAAAAAAAATAGATAAAAGAGGCTTTTAAAAATAGATTAAATTTAGAAAAATAATGGTTAAAATAAGAAGAAATGAAAAAGCAAATCGACTTAAAGAAAGAAGAAGAAAGAATAAAAAAAATGATGTAATAGTTTACAAATGCTGATTAACTTTCTTTATTATAAAAATATGAAAAAGCAGATAAAGAAGATGAATAATTTAAAGTTTGTACAAAATACAAAGGACCGACAAGTAATTAAATATTTATTTTGTAAAATTAATAAAATCATATTAAAAGACTAAAGATTTACAACGAATAAATCATGTTTAATTTTATGGATAATATTGAATTCTGTATTAATATAGACTTCGATTTATGGTAATTATTCATTTAAAAAAAGAATTAGATAATTTATATTTATTTTTATAATAGTATTTAAAGATGGTAGACCTTAAAGATTGTAAAATGGGTTTGATTTTAGAGCTGAATTATGTGGTTAAGGAAAATTTGTAGATAGACCATATTTATATTATCCAAATCCAGCTACTGACATAAACGTTGCTTTTTGTGTTTAATAATGTCCTTAATCTACAGTAATTTCTTATAAATAAACTAATTTATTTATTCAAATAAAAAGGGTCCTTTAATATGTCTTTATTAAACTAATGGAATCCCTTATAATTCTGTATATTCGAAATTTTGTTATGTTTAAATGTAATCGAAGCCTGTAGGTAAGTATTGCAAACCTTATGAACCTTAAAATAAATTGGCTTTAGATAATCATTTATTAAAATTTGATTTAAGAGTCAAAAGATATGTTTCTGATATATATAATGTATTAAAAAAATAAAATTTATTTATTTGTTATTCCATAGAGCTTAGATATGATTGGTTTAGGAGCAATTCTAATTTCTTTTCTCTCATTTATTTTTTATATTTTTATTAGGAATAGTAATTTAATTGTAATTTACATGTTTTCTATTTTTATTTTTATAATTGGTTGTTTTGCTGGATATTCTTATTTGTTTTACAGAGAATATTAATTAGTAAGTTTTTTTTTTTTTTAAATAAAAAGAAAATATATAAAGGAATTAGCTTAAAATTGTTTTACTGGTATTGATGAGAAATAATGTGTGGGAGATAGAGGATATTTATATAGGGTATTATTTTTATAAAATAATATTTTAAATAGAAAAATAGATATTTTGTTATGTAATAGCTGTAATTGGAGGTATTTATTTGTTAACATTAATTATGATTGCAAAAAGACTAAGAAAAATTACTAGTTTTTTTATTACTGTTTCATAGGTGGTTGATATTTTAACTTAGATAAAATTTATACCATATTTGTTACTTTTAGCTGCTATTTCTATTGGGGGATTGATTTTAATTATGGTTCCTCATGGATTTACTGTGGCTGATATAGTAATAATACCAATATTGGAAGGATAGATAGATGGAAACAAAGTAAAAACAATGGAGTTTAGTAAATTTTCTTATGCAATGGCCATATATGATATATTTATGTTTTTTATTTGGATGTTTTTCTTATTAGGATTTAGGGATATATATATCAGCTATTGTTTATGTATATGGTTTTTTACAAAAAGAAAAGATACTGTTAAGGTAATTAAAAAAATATTTCTTCGAAAAATAATATATAAAAAAAAGATTCCTAGATGGGTAGTATTTAAATAGATATTTAGATATCATTTAGGAAGTGTAGTAATGTATTCACTAGTTAGTGCATGCGTAACATTTCCAAAGTTAATTATGAAATCATTTATTAAAAGTTTAAGTGGACTTCCTTAGTATTCGAATACGGTAAGATATTTATAAACATGTTGTAAGTGTATGATTGATTTCTATGAAATTTTCCTAAGATATTTTTCTAAGCATAGTTTAATTTAAGTAAGTTTGACAAGTCTTGACTTTTACATATCTTCTAAAAGAGCTTATGGTCTTATGTTTAGAAATTAGGATAAAATTAGTGATATGGATTAAATGTAAGGTAATACTTTTAGTTTATTATAATAAAAAAAAAAAAAATATATATTTTTGTTGAATAAATAAATAAATATATATATATATATATATATAATATAATATAAATATATATATAAATATAAATATAAATATGTATTTATTTTTAAATATAAAAATTAAATAGAATTTGTTGTAAATAATACTAAGTTTTGTATTGCTTTTGTTTCTGCATTATTTGTTTATGTTTATTTAAGTTTTTTTGAATAAACTGTTTTTCTTAAAAATAATACTAAAGAGATTGAAAATAAAGTTATTCCTTCATTAGTTATGTTTGTTATTGGTTATTTTTTTTCTGCTGTAATATATAATAAATTGTAATAATATTTATTTTTAATTAAAATTATTATCAAAAAAAAAAGATATTTTAAGGCTCTTATGATATAACATGTAAATCGTTAATTTAACTTTATTTAATTGATTAGGAAATATTTTTTGGTGAAAAACGTTATGATGAAGAGTTTATAAATATAGTGTTTTAAAATTATGTAAAAGATGATTAGAATAAATATATAATAAAATCAAAATAAGGTGTTAAAATAGATTAAAATGAAATAGAAGAACAAAATTATAATGATGATGAAATGATGATAAAGAACAAGATTAGAATAATACCAGTGAAAATTCAGAAGATAATTATAATGTTAAAAATGATTAAATTAATACTAAGTAATAGTTGAATAGTACTACCAATTTTAATTAATAGTAAAATAATCAAATTGGTAATGAAAATGCAATGGCTAATAAATTAGATGATACCTATCTTACGAGAAATACAATTTAAAATAATTTTACAACCAATAAAATTTAAAGTAATCTAAATAATAATAATTTATTAATCCCTTAAAAATAAACATAATTATAATAAAATTCAAATATTTAATAAACTCAATACAATTAATAATAATTAAAAACCTTAGTAGTTACAAATAACAATATTAATAAAAGCTAATTTAATTATTAAGATGATATAGAAGATTTAGGAGATTTTACATAGTCTAAAGATTAAAATTAATAAAAAAAATAAAGCATGTAAAAAAAATATTATATTATTATTAATTTTTACAAAAACAGAAATTCCTTTATACCTCAAACATAAGATGCAAAACTCTCTAATTTATAAAAATAGTTTGTTCCAAATATTTATACTTCGAATATAAATAATAGACATAAATCTACTTCAAGAGAATTTAGATTGCTTAATGTATCTAATACATCAAATGCAAATAGTCTAACCTAGTAGAAAAAGTTTAATCAAAAAAATGAAACTGCTTTTAATCCATTCTAATAATTTGAATAAAATTATAATAATAAATTTAATAATGATGATGATAATGATAATGACGATGATGATGATGAGGATGATGAGGATGATGAGGATGATGGCTATAATTAAAAATTAAAATGATTTTTAATAGATTTTATTGCATATATTATCATTTTTTTAAAGTTAATATTGCAAAAACTAAAATTATAATTAATGTTTAAAGATAAATTTAAACTTATTTAAGATGTTATTAAATTTTAATTACTATTAAAAAATCATTATATAAAAATAAAATTTAAAGTCTTTGTATAACAAAAAAATTATCTTTTTATTCCTAACAAATTTATTGCAAACAATTATCTCGTTTATTTTTTATACTCTAGGATTTATTAACTATATAGTTAGCAATAAGCAAATTTATTAGAGAAGAATCCTTTTTCAAACAATTCTTCTATTTAGCATGTTTTTTCTATAATTTAATATTAAATCATGAGCTGATCTATCTAAAAAATTTCATGAATTATATAAATTTACTATTTTATTGTCAAACAAATCAATTTTTAAGTATCAAAAAAGTAAATATTTTTATGCAATTAATTTAAAATAGACTTCAATACTTTTTATTTATTTCTTTTTATAGTTTAGCTTGATATCATCTCTGCTTTAAAATGTTTTAAATAAATAATACTATTTCTACACAAATTAATGTATCTTTTTTATCTTCTTCGAAATATTTTTAACAATAATATTTATTTTTTAATATATTTTAGTTAATTTAATTTAAATTATGATTAAATTGTTTTATTAAATATTTATTTGATTTTGATTTAATTAATGAATTTAATTAAAAAAGATTAAGTCTATAATTATTTATAAATAATCATATTTATTAATTATATTTTTTTTAAAATAAAAAACAATAACTTAAAAAAATATTTTATATTTATAATAAATATACATTATTTTAAATATAGAATATTTTAATAATTTATCATAATTTCTATTGATTTATTTAATTTTTCTATGCCTATTTTGCTAGAAGTTTTTATTATTCTAACAATAATTATTATTGTTTTTTTAATTCTAAATTTTAGTTGATGGCTAAATTATAGCTATCTTTTATTTTAGTTTAAGTAAAATTTTTTGTATTATCTAAACTATTATCATATTCTAATTAAGTTCTATTATTATGGATTATTTATTTCGATTAATATTAATCTGTATGGTTGTCTACAATTTAATTCATAGATATATTTTATAATATGGCTGTAGAATTATACATATGAGGACTTCTACTAGTATTAGCCACAAATACAGGATTTCCATTTATTATATTTAATGCATTTTAGTCTTATCTAATTTTCTTAGCTGATTAATCATATTCTTAAAATAATTTTTTTTATTTATTAAAATCATAAATTGATTAAAATAACTAATACTAATTGGGATTTCTATAATTTAAATAATCATTAATTTTTAATTAATTAATTTATTGATTTATTGTATTGTTATTAAGTTTATCTATTATTATATCCTATTTTATTACATTATTTTGAATAAGTTTATCAGTCAATATTTTTTCTTTTATCGGTTGTTATTTTTATACAAATATTTTTTTTCTAAATGTTTCTTATTATTCTTAATCATTTTCTTTTTTTCTAATTGAATTATTTTTATTTACTTTTATAATTAATATTAATTAATTTATGATTTTAACTTTTAATTTTCATTTATTAATATTTTTATTTTTTAAGATAAATTTCCTAAAGTTTACTATGCTTTTTAGATAATGACTTGATATTAATTTTTAACTTTTTAAACATTTTCTAACATTTATTAAGTATCTTATTTTCTTAACGTTTAAACCCTTTTCGATTTGCTATAATATTCATTTAATTTTCAATTTAATTAATTTTTTTTTTAAAGTTTCAAAATTTTCAAATATTTATTTCTATTCATCAGTAATTTTATCAACATTGTCATTTTTTTTATTAATTTTATAATCTAAGTTTTTTAATAATTTTAAAGATCTTAAATTTACCTAAAATTAAATTAATTATTTAATAAAAAATAATGATTTATACTTTTCATATTTATTATAAATGTTTATATAATAATTTTCTAGGATTTATTTAAACTAATTAATATCTACTTTTTAATTAGCCTATTGTTTTATCTTTTAAATTTCTTCTTAAAATACTAGTATATATTTTTGCTCTATCTATTAGATATTTAATAACTATTGTTAAGATTTATTATCTATTTGCTTTATTTATTATTAAATATCTTATTTTTATTTTTCAAAAATATTTTATATCTAGATTTAATTTCGTTAAACTTCTTCTTGAATTTTCTTTTTATATTAAGTATTATCTATGTCATCTAAAACATGCTTCTAATGTAAATTATTAATTTTAACTATTTAATCATTTAAAATTTAATTAAATTATGATTTATAATTTGTTAAATCTAAATTAATTTGCTCCATAAATTCATTGTAGTTTTATGTATTTATTTTAATTTAATCATTTATTAATTTTTAAATCATAGATTATTTATCAATTAAATTTCTTTTTAAATTTTCTTAAATATAATTTTCCTATTTTTTATTTAAATATTATTTTTGTTATGCTTATAAAAAATAATTAATAATACAAAATTTTTTAAAAATTTTAATTGCACAATATGATCTTCTATTATATCTTTAACTTTTTTCAATGAAATACTATTAAAATTAGAAAAAAATATAATAGAAATTTTAATAACTTTTAATATTAATGGTTTAATTAATCTATTTGCATTTGCTAGATTGAATATTATTTAATTTCTCTATTTAGCTTGCAATATTATATAAAATAAAATTATATATATTATTTATATATTAGCCTACGAATTATAATATTTGATTTTATTGAAAAGATTATTTTTTAAAAAATATTCAATTTATTAAATAAGAATAAAAAATAAAAAAAAATTTAAATTATAAAATAAAAAAAAAAATAATTAAATATATATATATATAATTAT